TAAAGTCAACTTTAATTAATCAATTACACAGAAAAAAATGTTACCCTAAAAAAAATATTTATGATGATGAATTAAATCTATAACAACTATTTAGACTTGTTTTGAGGAAAATTTGACCTAATTTAGGACTATATGATAATTGTCCCAATATTTATCAAGAAAAATAATGTAATCTAACAAATTGAAAATTGTCAGTATCTGTTTAATTTATTTAGTTATTAAAATATTTTAGAGATAAAAATTGAGTTTATACAATTATTTTCAAAATGTGATTTTAATTTGTGAAATTTATTTCATTAGTTTTGTAAATCAACACGATGCAAGAATATAATGACAAAGAAAATTTTTACTGTAAAATCATTTATGTTCTAATACTGTAGGAATTTTTAAGTTAAGAATGGACTAAGAGTCGATGAAATTGCTTGTATAACTAGTCATCGCTGACAAATCCATGACATGGTATCACATCAATACCTTTTTTTAGACCTTTTTTAAAACGTTGTTATTGATCTCCTTGGTAATGATTAAATTCTAGCCCTTGAATCTTATTAATTCTGTTAAGGTGATTAACTTATTTTTAAAATCCTAGCCTTCATCTAAGTTAGAAAGTTTTAATCTTGATCCTTAGATCATCAGCTTTTTCTCACAAAAGTACATTTTACTTTTGCTTCCTTCTTTCTTTTCCTTGGATGAAATTTCTCTTCTTGATTGGCCATTTAAAACTTTATTTGTGTTCTCATTCTACCTTACAAAACCATAAAAAACTAGGCTCTTTTACTTTTGGAAGTTTTTCTCCTTTACTTTACTTTTGAACGCTAATTTCTCCTCTGTTTAGTTGCCATTTTTTGTCACTATTCTTCTTCCTTCCTCCTTTATCTTAGTTCTTTTTCAAACTCCACTTTGGTTTAGAAGAGAAAATCATTTTTAGACACTTTGGATGTTTTTACCTATATAATCAAAACTAGACTGCACTTATCCAGAGCAACTTATTACATAAAAAAATTGGAAAAAAGATTGTTAAAACCAATTTTAAGAATTGAAAAATTTGAGAATTAGCAGTTCAATTTGGTCACATGGTTCCTTTTTCTATTCCTAAACAACATTAAAGTGTACAACAAACCAATAAAGGTGAAGAAATGGGTCATTCCAAAGTAGAACAATATTGAAGAAAACTAAATAATCAAGGTATCATTCTCAAATATCTTCTATTTCCTTGTGATTTCTGTATTTTGAATTACAAAAAACTATTTCACTCCAAACACTAAAGTATCATTCTTAAACCAGAAGAGTTATAGAATCCTTGCATTGTGATATCATGCTTTGCCCTAACATGACATTATTGTTTTGCCTTTGTGTGACGTTGTTGCTCTCCTTTGCATGATACTGCTCCAACAAAGCATTAATAATTCACTAACCAAAAGCTTCTTCAATGAAAACCTTTCCAATTTGTTGGGTTGAAGTTTCTCCAATGAAGATGATGCCTAAAAATTACAAACCTCAAGTGTTGGTTTACATGAGCTTTTATATGTTTCCAATCTCCATTTTACAAGAAGTTGTTTATGTAATATGAAATTTCGTTTGCATTTCATCATATCATAAATGGTACTCAACCATTTTAGAAACTCATATGCTGAAATAAACACTTTGTCAATAAATTTTACATTACACAAAAGTTATAATAAAATGTATTTTGGCAATGTAAATAGACATCTATATTTTTGGCAATATAAATTTATATTAGGCATGTAAATATTAGATAGACTAACCAATATGTGATTAATCAATGATATGTTGATTTTAATACTAATTCTTAGTAATCATGTTTATTGTAGGAAGCAGGAAACATGAATGCAACTCAAGACATCAGTTCTAATGCTTTAAATATAAATAGTAATAGTAATACACAATCATCAGAAAAACAATCCACCAAATGGTTTATTACATTTCATGGGAAAAGTGATTGTACGTGGGAACATTTTGCATTTAAAAGAAAAGAAAAAAAACTAGTATTTATACTTACTTTCACTGTGATCAATCTTATTGATAAGCTTATATTTTATAGTATTTTTATAGATTATTTTTAAATGTTTGGTCATTATTTGATGAGAGTTTTGCACTGAATTATTTATTGTTTGTTGTAGTTAAACATAAAGGTTACCAATGTATTATTAAGAATGTTTTGCCACAATTACTTAAAATTGAAGACATGAAGCACATATATGCTTAATGTAATATCCTTATTTTATTTATACAATTTGTAAAATAATTTATGTTGAAAAAAGGAAATAAAATTGATTTACTTATATTCATAGTGCAAAATCTAATAAAATTTAAAACTTTCATCTTTGTTACTTAGTTTATAAAATGTATAAGTATTAAAATGATAGAAGATGAGTATACATATGGCATTTTATCACAGCTTATGAATAAGCTTAAGTCAAGGCTGAACTAAAATATACATATGTTAACCTTTATTAACGTACAAAAGTTAGACAACCATAAATCATAATTCCAAAATACATTAGAACTCATATACACAATTTATAAAAGAAACAAAATAGCTTAAGTCCTAATGAGTAGTTATCTCTATACTAGAATGCTGAGGATGATACTAGTCATCATTCCCAAACCAGTCCTCAATCTCTGCTAACTCCTCTGGAGTAAGATCATCATCCTCGCCAAGATCACCTGTATTAGTCACACCTCAGTACCAACTGCTCTAAGGTAAACCTAGTTGGTATTCCAAAGTAGTCATGATCATTGGAAGGTATATACAAAATTTGAAGTTACTAGGGTTTATACACACACACACACACACTCAAAGTGTGGTGGATCCTATTATTGACAGTGTAATCAAAAAGAATATTGTACCCCATCGTCATTTCTAAGGTGAAAACGTTCCCCACTTTATTATTACAGTCCACAATAAATTTACAAAAATATATACGCTGTCATTCCCTAAAATCATGATTTAATCTACTACTAACCAACCACTCTGATAACCTAATTGGTCTCTGGGAAGTGATCATCCTGCTTTCTTGAAAGATTTTAGTAAGAATGGGCCTATTTTCACATTACTACACATAATCAATATTACTTTCAAGTCTTACATGAATAAATAACACATCAACAAATCAGAAATAACAAGTATATTCCACAACAATTTCATATACACATAACATTCCTTAATACTATGATTTCTTTCTATTGTTATTAATAATATTTCCAAGTCTATCTTAATCGTTCACTGTTCCTGGGATCCTTTGAGGTCTTCTTTAGTATAGATAGTTACTGGTTAGTCGCAGCAACACAGATATAACCTGTGCTGACCCGACCCCTTTTAGCAAAAACATATCAGGAGTTTAGGTCAGGAAATGAGTGTGAGACTTGTGGTGTTTTTACTTTCATCAGTTATACGCAATCAAGAAAAATATCTACCACTCTCATTTCCTCAATATTTTTAAAATCGTCTCCATCTTCTACACTCTTAGTGTATCTCTAAACTATCCACACTTATCCTTATGATCTTTTCTTTCTCATCATCATTTCACTCTTTCATATTTCTCATTATAGTTTCTCTCTCTCTCTCTCTTTATTTCTCATCATATTATAAATTTATCACTTTTATGGTAACATATTTTTTATCATTTTCTATTTCTATTTTATTCAATTCAACTTTTACATCATATATCAATCAATCATGCCGAAGGTTAGACACCCCTGGACTCAGTCCAAAACGTACACATTCGATAATACATATAACTCAAGTCATCAAGTAAATCAATAGTTTCACTCAAACATATGTTTACAAATAAAGAACAAATAATAATACCACAGAGCACAAAATACATCATGTTACTAGTAATAGAAAAATAGAACTCTCTTTACTTTGAGATGAAAGTTTAGAAAGGGATTTGTGAATGATCTTTCTTAGAGAATTGAGTTTTTCCTAAATATCATAAAAGAGAGCATTTTAAGAAGTAGGAAATAGAGAAAATAAATAAAGATTGGAGAACTAAACTCTAGGAACTTACTTGGAGTTGATCAAGTGAACTTTTGAGTTTGGATTTGAAGAAAAGTCAGGATTTTGGGGAGGTTTTTCCAAGGGAAGGGAGTGGAGAAGCTTAAAACTTGGATTGTAATCCAAGTTTTCTAAGTTGAAATCCTTGAAATACTCCTCAACTCGCAACATTCTTGCTACAACGAACTGTTTCTTGCTACAACGAGACATATCTCGTTACATTAAGAAATCTTGCATCTCCCACACCTCATTGTAAAAGTGTTATTTTTATTTGTTTGTCTTTTACATACAGCTTATGGCAACTATTCAGAAATAATGTGCCAACCTGGTAGAGAGGGAATGACATCATCACCAAAAGATCAAGCTTTAGTAGCAACTGGTATTGCAAATACAAATGTTACTACAGTTTTGTTGGGGGTGTTTGTTATATATTGTACTGGGCGGGGATGGGCATGTGTCATGTCTCAAATTGTGCTTAATTTTGTATCGCTGAATATAGAAATAATCAGAATTTGTGGCTTTTGGTCTGCTATGTTTCTACTTAATTGCAGTTCGGACAGCGTTAATCGGTATAATTTAAGACTTTACAAAATCATTATTTTGGTCCTCAACTATAGTAAAAGAAAAAGTAATTGAAAATATGAAAAAGTGAATGATTTTTTGTAAAGACAAAGATTAATAGAGAATTTTATAATGTGGAACTAAAATCAAAATCATTAAACATTTATAATCTCAGTAACAAACATGTGAATTTACTCATTAATATATAATATTGATTTCAATATAAGGTCACCTTCATCCTCTAAATGGACAAGAGGATGAATTGAATGATTGGCATTGACTGAATTGGAGGAAAAAAATGCTATGGACATAGAAGAAAAATCAATTATGGACATAATGAATTGACATTGAGACGTAAAAAGAAAAAAAAAATCCCGAAAACAAGTAGCCAGAGAGCATTGCACTAATGACGTTGTTCTCAAATTCTTCGAACAGGGAATTGCAGTGTTGATGGTGGGCGCTGTTTCAGTCCACTTACAACAAACCCATCATTTTTCTGTACAGTTTTCTTGGTCTTCAATGGTGAAAGTGAAACTAATCTGGATGCTATTCTTGAAGGAGAGAAAGATCGACGGAATTTAGACGCAGCCGATACCGATCTCTTTGGAGAACTTCTACTCAAACTTGCAGGTCTTGTGGGTGAAATAGAGCTTTTGATCTGAACTTGAAATTTGGAGGTTGAAGTTGGAGACTTGATCAAAAACTTGTGTGGTGTTCCTCTATTTCTTGATATGATAGGGGACCTTGTCTTGCAAAACTGTTGCTGACGTGAGTGTGAAGGTGGAGACTTTACCAAAAACTTGTGTGATGATGATGTTCCTCTATTTCCTGATATGATAGGGGACCTTGTCTTGCAAAACTTTTGCACTTGCTGTTGTGACTGTGAAGATTGAGTGGACAAGAACAAAGGGTTGGGGAATAGTACAGCCTTTCTAGCCCATGGCCTATTCCTGGGAGATACCCTATTTGCCAGATATCTGTTATTTTCTTTGTCAAATTCTCTTACTTTTGGAGGAGAAACCTTAAAATTAATTTTGGAACGAGCCCTTTGAAGTGATGGGGACCCATCATTCTGGTGTTTGGTTTGCTTCTCTTTCTTCCTTCTGGCCTTGAGTTGTGTGTTTTCAAGGTTTACTTGTTGGTTTGTACGTTGAGACATTGGAGTTTTTGGGTCCTCAGAAACTGTTTTCTTATCAACTGCTGAAACTATTTCTCTGGCAAATTGACTTGCCTGCAATATTTCTCTGACAGTTTCGCCTACAAGCATTGCAGGCAATGACATTCTCCTCCATTCACCTGTATAGAGGTTTACAAGTGAAGGGAAAGTATCAGATTATTACCCATGTTGTCTTGATCATGCAAGTCCTAGTAAAGATTTCATTAGAAGTAAAAATGACTTTGATTTTGAGAGAGAGAGAGAGAGAGAGCAAAAATACCTGTGTTTGCTGGAAACTTTCCCACTGGAGATCTCCTTGGAGCACCATTCTTGATCCTTCAAAATGGCAAGAATACACACACCATTTGAGTAAAACTAACTAGTAGAAGTTTGAAGCAAAAATCTGGTAAAATTCAAATAGAACCTGAAGTGAACAAAAAGTAAATGTACCTAGCTGATTCTTGCTTGCACCTGAGACTGGTTCTGAGATAACCTCTGGTGCTGCGAGGGCTTAGACTTACACCTGACACCACCTTGGTTCCACCAGTCACCGTGTATTGAAGTTCCTGCAGCCGAGCCACGCACTGATCCACCTTCAAAGACCCACAACAATTCATTGATCAGGTAATCAACTAAAATTCAAAATTCAAAATTTATCTAGTGCAGTATAATTAGAGAAGATTACCTTGTTAAGTGTTTCCTTAATGAGAACTGGATTGAGAGTGGCTAACACTCTCTTCTGCTTTGGTGGGGTTCTGGCAACCATCTTTGGAATATCCGAGGTATGAAAACAAACACGAAGTGGGTCTCAGGAATTTCAGTAACTCGAACGATCTCTCCAACTTGTAGTACCCAGTGCCCACCCAACCAACCAAAGATTGGATCTGAATTCTCTCTATCTCTCTCTCTCTCTGACCCCAAAGCTCTTGCTTTTTGTTTCAGAGTTTGGCACCTAAGTGTTGATGTCAATTTGTCAAACAACCATGAACTCTTGAGCAACGGCTTGTTTTGCAACGGTCGAGTAAATCTTTGTCTATCCTCAGGAAGCCAACGGCTATATGGAATTCATTTTTGTATTCGTTTTTCTTTTCCTTGGGCCCCAGCTTGATTATGCAGGCATGTTTCATTAGTCAAAGTTTCTTTTTTTAATAAAGCAGACTTTTAGTTGAAAAGTTGCTTTTCTTTTGATAAAAATAGAGCAAAACAAATCACATGCTAATTAATTATCTTTGAAATATTTTGAAAATAAGCACGTCAGATTATCTCAACCATTAATACAAATATTTTTTAAAATATTTAATTGTTTCAATGTTGGATGGATTTTTCATCTACTTAAAAAGAGTTTTGATGTTTGAATAATTTTTTTAATACTAATCCTGTATATTATATTTTATGATTTTTTAACATGTCTTGAATGATACATAATAAACAAAATTAATAAAAAGAACTATTAAAAATTATAGTATTTAATATTTTCAATACATTATATTATGTGATATATTGGTGTCCTTAGACGTGTTAAAAAAATTGTAATAAAAATTATGTTTCTCAAATAATAAATTTTAAATAATAATATCAAAATAATATAATTATAGTAATAATCATAAAAATAAAAAAATGGGTTGTTATGGTTACTTATTTAAGAGAACTACTAAATTGCTCTCATGATTATTTTGGGACGATAAAAAAAATGTTTTAGTTGGCAAATTGGAATATTAATAAATATTTAATGAAGCTTGAAATAATTATTAGAATCTAGATTTATACATAAAACTTTAATATATACTTTTTAAAAATAAAAAAACAAAATTTTATAGGCACCTGAGTTTAGGATTTCAAATTTTATTTTCCAAAATTATTTATGTAATTACAACTATTACAGTAGAATCTAAAAAAATGACTTAAGATAAGAAATTACCAAATAAAACTCACAAATAGAGAAAACATTAAACAGAGAGAAAAAAAAAAGGGAGGGAAAAATCACGGAAATGAAAGAAGCAATTGAATTGATCAATACTAACAAGCACCTATAATTTGAAATTATTGCAACTTTTAAAATTTAGAATAAGTCAATAAAGTAAAAAAAAAAAAAACTTCACATTTATGACATGAAATAAATTAAAATAAAATTTTGATCTTTCAAAAAATTTCTATTTTTATTTGATTTTTATTTATTTATTCAAGTTAATCTTTTCAAAACCTGTTCTACATTCGTATAAAGTTTCTTTAAAATTTATTAACTTGTATTACTTTTGTAGATACTATGAACAACATTTTAATATTTTTGAACAGAATTCAAGTTACAAGTGTGAAAGAGAAATGAAAAGGTGCAAATATCGTTACATCATCATCATCTAAAATTACTTCATATTATATTTCACGAGCCAAATTATATGTTGCATAAATGAATAATTAAAAAAATCATGAAACACTAATAAAAAAATAGAATGCAAAAGAGTTTTTGACCTCATGAATTTTTAAAAGATTAAAAACTTGAAGCCCATAAAAAAAGTATGGTTGATCATCATCAAGACTGAGTATTTGTTATTCTTTGAAAAAAAATAGATCTAAGTTGATCTATAAACCAAGAAAATGCTAACAATATATTAAAAACACTTATTTCATAGATCCATCAATTTTTAAAAATTACTTTAACAATACTTACATAAAAAGTGTGTTAAAACATTTTAAAAAATGTCCTGCCCACCTTCCTCTCTAAACCAAACATAAACATATTGTACACATTGGAATTAATTCCAAAACTCGAGTATTTGTCACTATGAGAAAACAGGTTTACTACATTTGGATTGGCCGAGATGGCAAGAGTGATGGCTTTCTGTTGTTCTTCCCTCTCAGCTTGAGAGGACTCCAGATTAAAGGTTTCCGTTGAAGTGCAACGATAGCTGGATGCCTGGAACCCAGCCTTGACACTGGCTGTGTGGGACTGCCCATGAACTTGCTGCTACTTCTAACACACATCGGTGTTGTCTCAACTGATGCTCTCAACTCCGGCAATGGAGCAAACAAACATGAATACCTATCTTTCCTTTGGCTCCTTATCAGTGATTGGTGACCCCCAACACTGTTTCCACCGGTGTATCTGAGGGCCGAGGTACGAAGTGGAGTTGTCATGTCAGAAGTTGTGTCATGACGCAGTGTAGCTATGGAGACCCTTCTCCTTGGCTGAAGGACCTGTGTTGTTGATGGCACAGACACAGGTGGTCTCATGGCAATGGAGACCCGCCTCCTTGCCTGAAAGATCTGTGATGATGATGGTAAAGGTGATGGTCTCTCGGCAATGGATGCCCTGCGTCTTGGTTTTGCAAAGCCTTCTCTGTTTGTTGCCATTGAGTTCCTTCTGGCAGAGTTTTCCTTTCCATTCATGAATGCGGTATAACTCTTTGAAGTAAGAGGAGACGGTGGAGGCAACGAATTAGCTATTCTTCTCAGTGGCAGTCTCAGTTTTGAAGGATTCAGTGGTGGCTTCTTATCTGTCATGGTTTTATGAGCATTTGTCTGCTGTAATGATGGAGGTTGAGCTGAAATAGCAGCAAGCGATCTACTTTCTTGCTTTAGTCTGGTTTTTCTCTCTTCTGCTATCTGGTTCTCAAGGTCCCGAACCTATCATGTGACATGAAATTGTGAATGTATTTACAAAATATCACTTTGAAAAAAAGACATCTTGTATGGGTTACTTGCATGAAGATTATACCTTTTCCTGAAGGGTTCTACAATGGTGTTCTCTTGCAGCAAGCCTGAGTTGCAACATTTGCAAGTTATCCTGTAATTTCTTAGTTTCCTTCTCGTCTTGTTTGAGCTTTTCTGCCTTCAATTATGAAAAAAATTCTTATTTTCAGGAATTGAAAAAATCACGGTTATTACTTATTCTTATTAAAAGAACAATTTTACTTTAGCTTACCATTTGCTTGTACTTGAACACCTCACTGTGATCTACTTGCTTGCGAGCTGCGCCACTCTCGATTCCGCGAACCCGGGTAGCAAAATTAAGAGAGCAGAGTGTCTCTCCTAAGTCTGCTGCACTTGGACTTACCTGGACAAACATCAATGTTTTACAGTCTCCTCCTGCATTTCAGCCCCGGATCAAAGATGTATTAGTGAAATCAAATCACAAAGGCGTCATTTTCAAAGGATCATAAATTCATAATGATGAAGTGAAATCTCACCTAAAGAGCTTTGCAGTATATGAGTGAGTTTCGAGTTCCTGTCTCAAACAGAAAACACAAATATTAGTGAGATAAAGGATCATTCTGTGCGAATGTGTTTAAGAGAGTAAACGAGATTTTGCCTGTAAGGGATGTGGGATGATTTAGAAGCAAGGGCAGAGATGACATCACCGAGCGCTGAAAGAGACTTATTTATGAATTGAGATTCCTTCAGTCTTTCTCCTTCAGCTTCAGTTTTTCCTATGCGCTCACTACCAGCTAAGTCTACTAGCCAAAGGTGACTTCTTGTTCGCTGGCCATTGATTAAATTCTCCCCCATTACAGTTACTCGCAACAAGCTGCATGAGTACATGTAAAACCACTTCTTTCTCATTATCAAAAATCAATAATGTGAAATAACTTCTGTACCAAGACCAATAGTTTCATCGAGATAATTTCATTATATCTACTGACACAAAGAAGCTACTGCCTCGGTTTCAAAAATGACATTCCAGGAAAATAACAATCATTTAATATGATAAAAATATTTAAGAAATTGAAAATTACGATCTTCAAAAATATAAAATACAAACACTTAAGTTCACAAGTAAATATGAAGTACAGACATGAATTAAGTTTATCCGTAAGAATTAAGATATACCAATGAGAACGGCTGCTAAGCTCATTAGCACAGGTGGATCCAACAGATCTGACTCGGTTTCCAGTCTTAAGCATTTTCCACACATCTTCGGTTCCATAAACACGAGCTTCAACAAGTCCAGGGACTTCTTGGGTTCCTTCTGCAGCTTGCTTTATCTCCAATCTGAAATTTAAAAATTTTTTTCTTCATCAGTGACACACTCTTGGGAACGTTTTATACATGAAATTTTCATACATGTAGGTGTGGTAGAGGGAAGAAAAACTGGTGGCTTAGTTAAGAAATATAACCGCTTCAAGGAAATCTACTTGTAATGCAGAAATGATTAAAAACCATGCAGCTCATAAGAATGTCATGTTTAGAACAAATAAACCTATAATGTCATGTTTCATTTTAGACTATCCAAGTAAATCAACACGTCACAGGAATTCTCAGATCTTGTTTTTATTAACATAACATGAAAATGGCTGTTTAAATATAAAAGAAAAGAACTAAAAGCTACAATGCCAAGTCCTCCAAGAGATCTGAGAACTCACTTCTTCATAGGTTGGGTAGAATTTTCCACCAAGAGATCTTTTATCTTCTCATTGTATACCTCCAACATGCTAACAGACAAATCATACTTAATTACCCTTTGTCTCTCTTCTGTTATCCGAAATAATTCTTCTAGGGTTCTGTAGTTAACTCCTCTGTGTTCTGGTGTTCCCTCCATTGTAAATGTTTTACCAGTTCCAGTTTGCCCATAGGCAAATATGCAGACATTATAGCCATCCAATACTGATATAACAATGGGTTTGGTTTGCTGAAAAACGGCCTCTGCAGGATAAAATAATACATTCACGTTTAATCATTTTCCGGAAAAAAAATTCTTCATTGCAAGCCTAACAAAAGTTGTAACTTCTCTTGTACCTTGATTATCTTCAGGCCTAAATACGTGATCAAACTTAAATTGCTTCTTAGAAGAATCTGAGCAAATGACTTGAAGTTCATTCTCAGAAGAAGACTCAAAATTGACAACAGACGCGGACCCGTTTGCCATTTCACTCTCATTTAATGGTCTGCATCTGCAGAAAACTCTGATATTTCCCCTGAGTTCAATCACTTCATTGTAAAGCCGCCTACGCTCAGAAGACTCCTCCAGGTACTTTCTTTTCAAGAGTTCATATTCAGAACCTAGTACCAAATAAAAATCCCATAATCTATTGTATTAATCATATAACTAAAATAAAAGAACGAGAGTATATTCAACTTTTCTTAGTTTTCTACCAGAGCCATACCTAGAAGCTGAACAGACTTCAAAACATCAGGTCCCGGAAAAGATTCGATAGTTAGTTTCACTTCATCAGACAAGACCACATGCTGCTTCTTCAAATCCTGTTGCACGAATAATAAAATTCAGGTAAGCTTTATGCGAAAAAAGAACAAGAACTGAGAATCCATAACTTTAAGGGAAAAGAAAGAGATAAGATTCAACGTGGTTTTAAACCAATAATAACGATTTACCTGAATTTTTGTACTCGTATCAATGATTTTCTTCAATATGGGAAGTGTATGACCTTTATCAGGAGAAACTTCATGGATTCCACTGGACAAACTGTGTTCATCCATGCAGTCAGCGTTCTCCTTTTCTTGCTTCGATACAATATCTGATGATATTCCAAAAATCAATAAACGACTAATAACTTAATTTTGGCTGAGACTATTGAAGGAAATGGTCCAATACTCCAATTAATATTTATTTTGTTTTGCATGCTTCCAAATGCCAACGGAAAATTGAATAGAAAATAGCATGGGAACCTGAGTGGTCAGCGATTGACGGCTGCTGGAGTTCGCAGTCAAGAACGAAGCGATGGAATTTTTCAGCAAGCATTTGAATTTGAATGGTTCGATCTGCAAAAACAGTTGAGTCGCATTATAGAACGAAGCAATTCAATAGATTCGTGAGGGGAAAGAAAGAGAGAGAGTACCGTTCATGGCTTCTGGGAGAAGAAAGATAAACAATTGCAAGATCTTTCAGAGCGCGAGAGAAAGAGGGTGTGTGTATGCTGATGAAATGGGTATCGGGTTCTTTTGTTCATGAGATTTCAATGTTTGAAATTACAACGGCTATATAAAATTCACCGGAGCGTATATAACACCGACGTTAGTTTTGGGCCCGACGATGGGCCTCCATGGTTGATGGGCAACCCAAACTAAAAAACTACCAGGCAAAATAGAAAAAAAGAAAAAACGAAAAGTAATCCCAACAAAATAAAGAGATCACCTGTTCTAAACATTTAATATACAAATTAATTTTTTTTAAAACATTGAATATGTTTTAAAAATTAAATTTAAGAAATTATATACAAATTACTTTTAAAAATAAATTTTTGGAAATGATTTTATATCTTTCAAAGATTAAATTCTATATGTGATTTACAAATGCCTTTCAAAATTGAACTTTTAAAATATATTAAACACACTTTAAAAATTATTATTTAAAAAATACATATATAGTAGTGTGAATAAAAAAAAAGAGAGAGTAATACCCATGGTTTTTAAAACCGAAACGGTAAAGGTGTTGGTAGATTTAATGGTTCGACCGCAAATGAACCGGTAATTATATGGTTAAAATTATATAGTTTTTAAACACCAAACTTGCACATTTGAAAATCAGGTTCAAATCTAAAGAAATTAGCCAACCAATAAAAATATATGGCTTGTATTTCAGAAACGATTATTGGGTATTTGGAACTGCGTTAAATTTGTACCTTAACTGGATGCTAAAACGTAAAACGTGTAGAACTAATTAAATTAAATTAAAAGCCAGCGAGGAAGAGCAGTTTATACCTTAGACTCTGCACTTGATCATACCAAGTAGGCATTAATTTGCAATATTCATCAATATCCATGGCCTTTGGCGAAGGAACAGATTAACAGGAACAAGTTGAATGGCTTCTTCAAGCATAACCAGCAACTTCCACTTTAACTACCATCCTTCAATATCCCTTCCAACCTCAGCCACTCGTTTTTCCTTATCCTTCTCACACCCTCTACTTTACAATGGCCTTTCCCTTCACCCTGCAAGCTCAAGCTCCAGAGTTTTTGCCAAGTTTGAGAAATTCCAAAGCGAACCTTCCCAAGAGGCTGAGCCTTCGTTCTCATTAGAAAATACAGAAAATTCTGTTGAGGATGATGAGGAAGATGACAGGTATGGCTACTTCACAATTTGAGCTTTGTAAATTATGTTCTTTTTTCAATTTAGGTGTTGCAAGTCTCAGACCACAGTGGATAGACAGAGTTATATTTTCCATAAATAGCATAGCAATCTTATCTTCAGGATTAAATATACAAGCTTTGTTTTGCGTTGGCTGTTTTGCTTTGAGTTGTGTTCTAGAAACTCAAACATCATTCTTCTTCAGAATGTTTGTGCCGTTTTGTGGTCTAGTCTGTTCATCAATTTAGTCACACCATGTTTTGAAGTCATATGTGAATAGGAAGTTCAAAGTTGGTAGAATGCAGGAGTCAGATATACATTCCAATGAGTATAAAAAAATTTTGACTTTTTTGCTTTCTGTTTCAGTTGTTTGCCTTCAGACTTGGAGGGTGCAGTGCGGCAATCAAGTGAGGCCGCAGCTTCTTTTATAATTTCAGGGGGGATGAGAGCCATAGTATGTACCAAAATTTCAAGCCTCTTTATTTATTTCACACATTCCAAGTTGAAGTTAGTTTGAGTGACTTCAGATTTTTTTATTTTTGACTTATTAAACCCTGCGTTGAAGACTTTCAAAGTATTGCAATCCTTCTAAGAAGCCCAATTATCTTAACCTTTTTAAGATCAACAACTTTGTAAATTCAACTTGTTTGAGGTGACCAAAAGTAAGATCAAAATTAAATTTTTCATTATTTTGTATCTCATGTATGATGTAACTAAATGATTAGCAAAGGCAGTTAAGTCTTAGAAAATGTTGCTTTCTAGAATGCAGTTTAATTGGCGGATTAATTTGTCAGTCAAAATTAGAAATTGTTCTTTCAGGTGCATGGTACCACATGCTTCATACGCTAATTTTTTTTATCCGTCTATGACAGGTTGAACTTTTAATCCCCCAACTGCAATTTTTGGATGACGAAGGGGCACAGGTGGAACTCTGGGAATTGTCAAGGATTTTTTTGGATACACTCATTGATGAAACAAAATTCCAGGTTAGTGGAATGTTTCTAAGAGTTATAAACTTTTAGTGCATGAAGTATATGAAGGGTTTTCTTAATTCAAAATGATTTCTCCATTTCCTAACTTATACCTACTAGTATATTTCTCCATGATGTCATTCCATGTGTTATGTTCATTTAAGTTGAATTGGTTTCTTTTGAACTTCTCTACCACTGGATGTACAAGCATGTTTATGCCATTTTTAGCGTCCTACTTCAATAGTCTCCTTTGTAGCGCAGTAGGCAGCTAGTATATCAGTTTACGTGGTATCATGAATTGTTTAGTAATTCGCTATCAAGAGGTCAGAAATAGAACTTGAAAATTTTAGAGGACAGTATTAGCATCCTCCAAAATTCATTTGGGATCACAAAAGAGATGGTTGTGCCGATTACTGACTTTTCTGCACATAAGTATTCACTAACTGGATGCTAATTGTACAAATACTGGTTTTTCTGCATATTATCTTCTATGATTATGGTGCTTCATGATGAATTCAATACAATGTGCATTGATGCATTTTTTAAGTTGTTCAGTTTCTAAGTTTCATGAGTTTGATTGCTAGAGAGTTAAAGCCATATTTCCAGATGCTGGTGCAGCAGCACTTCTAAAATATCGGTGGAAAGATGCTCAATTTAGATTTGCAAGGTGATTTCCAACACATTGATTAATGCTTCATGTTTTATTCTGTTGGCAAAATAGTTGTAGGATATACGATCAAATATTTGATTCTGACTTTTGCATGTATGTGCTTGATGGCTATGCTGTTGCAATTTGGTCCAGAATTTTTTTTTTTCCCTCTGTATTTATAGTCATGATATAGCTATATTATGATCAGTTCCTTTTGCTGTTTATCCAGCTTAAGTGACCGAAAGCCTGTAGAAAGTGACGATGAGATGGTGGTTATGATTGTTCCTGATTATCAGATGTTAGAATATGTAGAGAGAATTGCATCCAATCTCTCAAATGATCCAGTAAATCCCCAAACTCTCCTCTTCTAAATTGATTGAAATCTAAACATCCATCTACTGAACAATGCAATAAACTTTCCTCATCAAGAGAGAAAGCAATAAGTGAAAGCTGCTTATATGTGCATCAGAGTTCTGAACTAATGGCAAGGGATTATGAACTAATAATACTTCTCATATCAAGACTGCAAGATAGCAGCCTCACTCTGTTTGATTATAATATTTATAATTTTCCTTCAAACTATGTATATATTGGCAGCCTAAGCCCCTTATCATGTGGAATCCACGTTTGGTTAGTGAAGATGTTGGGGTTGGAGTTAATGTCCGGAAGTTAAGGCGCTACTTCCTAAGGTGCAATTTCTGAGCTATCTGTATTAATGGTTTACTTCTTTAGCTTCAACTGAATGAATATATTATCTACATAAACTGGAGCTGGATTTTTGTTTTCGTTATTTTTCTAGTACTATCTGTATTAAGTTCCTTTCTAGCGCTTTCTTATTTTCAATGCAATTTATTTTGCAGAATTGGTTTATTCTGATTACATCAGACTACTAAATTCTGATCTTTTGTTGTACAGCACCTTTACAACTGTCTATTTCATGCGACCTATGCCATTTGGTGCAATCTTTAGGTGTTATCCAGGGTATGGTCTTTCTTTTCCTACCTTGAGGTTATTATATATAAATATCGATCATATTGGCATCCTGTTTTGATTTCTATAACTCAATTTTCAAATAGTCTACATCCATAGTTAACTCTTAGCCTAGTCCAACCAAAACTAGTCACAAAAAATTAATTTTGGATTTAAAAGTGGATAGTTTGATTCACTTTATTTCTACATGTTTGAGTGCAATCTGGGCATGATTCAATATTGTATTCTGCTTCCGTGAAGATAAAAATTGTGAATTTTGCACTGTTAACCCTATGTGAAAGATTTTGGCCCGCCATAATTGCTGGCGCCAAATATTAATTGTAAAGCATAATCTATTTATGATTTGTTGTGTGGTTCCTGTTTTGTTGATCACACTCAGAATGTGGAAAGTGTTCAGTGATGACAAGGATAGACCAGATAGATATTTGCTTGCCAAGGAATTTGTCAACCGTCCTGATTCTGAAGATATTGAGGTCAGTAGCTTCAATTCTAAACTACCTTGCCGGATAGTAAAGATACAATACACCCATTTTGTATCTACATAGTTGAGAAAGCCATTATTCCTTTTGCCGGCTTTTCTAAAAAAACTTTTAAATAGAAGGAAAAACATCATTATAGAGTGAGGTAAGACAACAAATTTGTTGGTGAATGAATACCTTACAGTGAAAAGACCCTTAACCCAACCTAAGGAAAAAGAAAAAGGAAAAGGGTCACTGACCTTGATATGCTTACATCCTTAAAATTAATATGATAATTTATTAAAATCTCTTGGGTATCCTTATCAATATGGTGCAGCTTCTATTTGGCAATGAAGAACAGAAGTCAGAGCAAGGGCAAGGCTTGCTTGACAAAGCGGCAGGCATCTTCTCTTCAATTAGCCGGTTCATGAAGGCTATTTGATGATTGATGATGATGGTCTTCCATACTCGTTCTCATCAATAGTGCATCCTGCCCCCATTCATGTCAATTCTATGTTTACTTCTCCAAATTAGTTTTAGAAGTCATACAGCTTTTATCATATACTATAATGCATGTATACATATTATGTTGTATTTGACTTTATGCCAACTGCCAAGTTTTGTTAAGTGTTTATCCCTACTTTGTATAGGAAAATGCTTTTATTTTGCCAAACGCTAACAATCGGCTAGAAGAATAATGAAATTTTCAATCACAGATAAAATTAACTCATTATCAAGTTACAAGTCAAAAAATGATTGAGGAATATCATAACCTTCACTCCATTCCCAAGAGCCTTAGCACTCAAAAGATACTCAGTCTCGTTGAGACAGCTTGATCCTGTAAACGGCTCCAAGCTAAATTGAAACCAAAAAAAAAAGGACGAGCGTTTAGTTAAAAAAAAACGACAGCAACTATGCAAGAATCCCTACTAAAAACAGAGAAAATTACCAAACTTAAAAGGGCACCATAGACGAAGAAAGCCAAGTGAGCAACACTTCTTTTTAGCAAAGAAAGTTCATTTAAAAGGAACGATCAAACCATTAAAATTGTATAGAATGTTTAAAAATTGCACTTCTTTCTACAATGGTTTAAGAATCTCGCCCTTCCTTTTTATTGCACAGACTGAAAAACAACGCACTGGAAATATCAACCTATCATGGTCTTATCTGTGACATACAATGGGAAATATGAATCCTCGAATGTTGTCTGCCGATGTTGACTTTTTTGTAAGTCATTGGAAACAAAAAAAAAAAAAACTCATGAAGTTCTCTCATGATGCACTTTAAGTACAGAGAGTTGATTAGTTCACAAGATTGACTGTAACGTCATTAAAGAGCTCCATGTATGGTTTGTCCGTGGTAATTCCATCCATGCAGAGTAACTCGAGGACTAACACCCGGGGGAACCTCAAAAGATATTTTAATAGTCATGGTCTCTCCTGGCACCAGTGAAAAATAGTTATCTGAGTAATGAACTGGGAGAATTCTTGTGTCTTCCCCTTCCTTGTGTTCCCTACTTGCAGCATGAATAGAGAAATGAAGGAAGAAAGCAACACCTGTGTCTTGTCCATTAACTTCAGAAACCTTTAAACCATCACTTTTCCCAGCAAAGCATTCGTGTATCCTCCTAAACCAACCAACTTCGTGTTCATTTCCAGCCCCACTACGTACAGTTTCCATTGAGTCTGTAACTAAACAACTATTGCTTTGTTTAGCTGTTGAACTGTGCTCAAATGTTAAACTTTTAGAGTCTGGTCTCTTAGATGCGTTTTGCACATGCATTTGAAGTTCATAAGTGGATCCTTCAATGAAAACCTCGGAAGTTATCTTGAGAGGTATTTTCTTCTTCCTATACGGCTCTAACAGCTTGTAATCTCCACCCGGAAGATGCAGCCAATAAAAGTTTCGTGACAAAATTTTATTATCTGACATGCTGTACAATTTAAGAAGAAGAAAGTAGACTGGCTTAGGATTTTTTGACTTCGGATACTTCATCTCAACAATAGGAGTTACTTTTTTTGGCAGCATAGTGAGATTTTCATGAACTTTGTAGTATGGACATGTGCCTTCAAGGTCCCACACTGAAGCTTCAATAGCTACACTAGACAATTCTTCTGATGTAGTATTAACAACCTGTTTTAAGAAGTAAAATGAAAGAAAAAATCTAAGAAACTGTTCATCACTGGACCATCAAAAAATTGGCATAGGAAGTTGTGGTGATTATTCCAATTTTCACCGGTTTAGAACTCTTGTAATCTTTTTCACTTGCTCTCAATTTTCAATTTATAAAGTAAAAAAAGTGTTTCAAATTGTTAGATGATGTTTCAGTTTCATTCCCAACACATAAAAATAGAAGTTTAATTCAGTTCCTTACCTCTATAAAGTATGTAGCCAGATTAAGCTGTACATGAATTGGCTCTGCAGCGCATCGACAACCATAAAAACCTGCTGTTTGGTCAAGTAGATGATCATAAAATTGACCTCTCAGACCAGTCCAAGGATTTTGTGTCTTCCAAATTAATACTCCTGTATATTTTGTCCACATGTGAGAAGTCCATCCTTCCAGAAGAGCTCTATATTGTATATAGTTAGCTAGTTGAGCCTGAGAAGATTATACCATAAAAAATAAAAATGAAAAACAGAACATAACCGGAGGATTGAAAATGCATCATAAATGACCACCTGGATGAAGTTATCTCTTACCTTCAAACAAAAATCATCAAGATCTTTTACAGCTCCATAAAGCTGAATTTGATCATGAACCTTGGTTGGGTTTGAATATGGAACGTATTTGTGGTATTTCCATATGGGATTTGGAACTTCTTCTATATAACCATTGGAAAGTTTCTTAAACAATGGTATCTGCCATCCCTCTGAAGGCATTGTTGCTCTTATTGTAGCAGCAACTGGCATTCCTACAGAACCAACCTCAGGGTTGAATCCATACTTGTAAAAGCTACCCTTGAAGAAATCTTCAGGATTTTGAATTACATAAGGTCCATCAGTGAAGTTCCCCTTCCCATCTGCAAACCCATCCCATAATGATCCTTCTATGTAAATCCGCGTGCCATCAAGATACTGGCTAGGATCCCCCAACCTTGGGGACAAGTCACCTAGGGGTTTTCCTTTCTCTCGTACTTGTTCAAAATAAGGATGAAGTTTCAGATCATTTTTCAGAGCAGCATTTATATCATTTGGTGGAATTTGTTCATTTCCTCCCACCCACAGGGCAAGACTAGGATGATTTCTAAGAAGCTTGACCGTGTCCCTAGCACAAAACAAGAAAAGATCATGGTCCAGTGGACCATTTGGATTCGATACTGGGATACCACGTCCATCAACATCCCCAGTAATCCAGAATTCTTGCCATACCTACAAGATTTACCAGTAATATGATCAATTATCAAAATCAAAACTTCCACTAATGTAACATACCTAAAATAATGGGTGGGACCAAGGTGATCTGATGATGATGTATTAATTCTAAACTAGTAAATCAACGGTGATAATTTGGTCTAGCTGCTGCAGCACTTATAAGAGTTTTTTCTACTTCTTTTTTTTTCATAAAATGACATGTTGAGATTTAAGCACAGGCTCTGGATATCCCAGTATTGAAAATCATCTGATCTCATAAATCTAACCAGCTTTAATAACAATGATGGAGCTATTCAAGCTTCATACAAACTGCTACATCTATGATCTATGCAAAGGTACTCAAAAAGGAAAGGAAGATTAATAAACCACATAGGCACACTGCACAGCAGTACTAATGCAATAAATGCATAAAAAAATATAACAAAGGAAAAAAGAATATTAAGGTGCACATGTAAGCAAGAATGAGGGTGTAGTACATCTTACCAGAAGACCATAATAGTCACAATAATGATAAAACTCAGGCCTTTCAGAGAGTCCACCACCCCAGCATCGAAGCATGTTAAAATTCATATCTGCATGAAACTTAATGTCTGTATTGTATCGCTTCTTAGACAGTCGCAGTAGCCCATCAGACAATATCCAGTTACCCCCTCGTATAAATATTGGTTCTCCATTGACTTTGAACAACCTATGAAAACATGGAGAAAAACATCTATCAAAACAGTTTAAAGTTTGAATTAATTCTACTAAGGAAAAGGTAAAGTATTACTATATTGAAGAAGTATAAGAAATCATAATACCTTCCACCAGTAGCATCATCAATATGGCTCTCAATGTTGCGGAATCCAAAGTAATGGCCCCATGAATCAGACTCACCAAATCCTTTAACATCAACGTTAATAATAACATTGTACAGAGATTGCTTCCCCATTCCATTGGGCCACCATAAATTTGGCTTGTAGAAGAAGAGCTGCCAATGCAGATCATTAGCACTTGAAAAGTTGTGATAAACCTCAAATTACACAAGTCCACAGGATCAATAGTATAATGATTAATGAGGCTATAAAAGCTTATCAATCCAGGATCGCATACTTTGACAACTTGCAAAAGAAAAGAAAGAAAGAAAGAAATGTGACATAAGCCATAGAAACAAGTTTGCACAAATGCAGCCCTAGAAACATAGCAATACCAACAAATGATACATGTCATATACCAAGACAATAATGTATGAAATAAGAAAAATTTAAAGTACAATCTTTTTTTTATAAAGATATCTTGAATTAATAATTAAGTTCTTCAAATGTTTTAAAAGTCTATACAGGTACATACATACAGTTTATTAAACTTTGTCTTAAGCAGAACAAATGCTGTCACTGACCTCAGGAAATGTATATTGCACCCGTGACCTTGCAGGAACTGAAAGATTCTGAGTTTGAAGCTGCTCTACTAAGTGAATGCTCCCCTCAATTTCCGTTGTCACATGGATGCTCATAGAGCACTCCGCAGTCCAGGAGCTCCTGTTTTCCAACTCAGTTGTGGCATGTAGATATACTCTCTTATAATTGTCAAAAAATGATGACACCAAGTGGGGATCAATTATTTTTACTGGCTGCACCCAAACACATACACCAGAATCATCCTAACAAAGAACTGCTAGAATCAACTACAAATCAACTCTCAAAAAATGCTTGCTCAGATTGAGAAAATGTATAGAATGCATGAAAAGAAAAATCAAGAAAGCAGTTATGATGTTTAGCTCGTGTCTCTGCAATATTCTGATTTTGTTTTCCAGACATCTTAGTGACTCCTCAAGTTGTATATCATCGTTGCAATATATGGTTGGATCTAGAGGAGTTCAGTAATATTTAATATGAATTGAAGAATATATATAAATGAAAATCTAAAGCTCTTTTTCTTTGGGGGTAAATAGTAAATAGCAAAGGGCAAAGACAGTACATTGAAAAGAGAAACATGAAGAGTAGGAAAAACAAGCTTTAATAATTGGTCTCAATGGTAAATTTTAACTGCATGATAAACAAATAATAGAGGCTTTGAAAGGAACTAAAAAAGCATCTAATACAACTCACCCCAGTAATAGAAATGGAAACCTCATCCCATATTCCAGTATTCCTATCTCTGCAAACAAATTAAATACTTACAATAGTTATTGATACAGTTTACTTTATAATGCTTCTTCATGGTTCAGAAACTCTACAAAACTCAGTCTACAAGCAATGCCCAAAATGCTCTATATTTTATTTTCCCTTTTTTGTGCATAGAGGTCATCACAAAGTCATCAAAGGAAATTTTGAATAACATATCCAAATGAAATTTAGTGCCATATGTCACATAATGTATGCTTCATTGCTTCTACTTATTTGATGTCTTATTTTTCCTTTTCAGGTCAACATTATGTCCTTTACATCAACTTTTATGGTGAGTGAAACTTAATACAACAACAACTAAGCTTTATCCTACTAGGTAAGGTCGGCTACATATATCGCACAAGATATGACACTATTGAACTCAGTCAAAAATTAAATTTTCAGAAATCCAGCTAATCAAAAGGTCTCTTTTAATGTGAGTGAAACTTAATGACAGAGTAAAATGGTCTCCACGTTGTCATGGGAATATATATTCCAATTATTTAATCACATAAAAACATCAAATTCATTGATTCTTAATTGATGTTAGAATGACAAGGAGATCACTAGTTTGTTACCATGCAACGATATATATACCAAAAATAAAATTAGTTACCACACAAGTAAAAACAATTTCACCTTATAGGAGCTATCCAATCCCAACCTTGAACATATTGTGTGGCCACATCCTTTCCTATCTACACAAAAGAACAAAAAACATGACTTATATATTCTACAAGCATCACTCACTCTTCCTCGCTCCTTGTTTCTAACTCTTAAAACTCAACAGTTTATAGAAGTCATCGACCACTTGAATAGATAATTGACACGTCCACACAACATGAAATAAAATAATAAAAATGAACAAAATTAACAAGTTGGATTTATTAATTGAATTTCGGACCTCGTGATCACCGCCTTGTCCCCCCTCAGGAGGAATGCTCCCAGGATGATCCGGAGGGTAAACAAGAACAGCAAGCAGATTACTACCCTCAGAATGAACAATATTAGTAACATCAAGAGAATGCCTCCGAAACATTCCTTTTGGAAGGACCATTTTGTGGCCATTTAAATAAACCTCAGCAGAGTAATTGATTCCACGGAAGTTCAAATCACAATGCTGATTGCTTGCCTGCAAAGGGTCAAGTAGTCAGCACTTAGCAATGTCCATCAAACCAGAAACCAAATCAAAATTAAATCACATTACATTAAAAATCTAAAATTGTTTAAAGAGACAGAGAGAGAGTAGAATCCGTACCAGCTTACACTGAAAAGTTGTAAAGAACCAGAAGGTATAATAGTCTCTTCCAGAATCAGCAATATCAAAGATTGCCTCATTTCCGAGTCCATAAAAAGGATCAGGCACCATTTTGTTCTTCACCAAGGTCGCCAGAACACTGAATCAACAAAAAAACACTTCATTAACTAAGGTTACTTCAAAGCAGTCACTTTCACAAGAAACATTAGCATAACACAACCAATAAAAAATGAAAGTAAACAGTGCATGTAGGATGCAGCATTGCAGCTACAGAGACAGAGAAAGAGAGACATTACGTTCCAGGAACGAGAGCTTCCATCCACGGTGAGGTGGAGGCAGAGGGAGGGTGAGTGGTGGTGAGTTGAGTGCCAGTGAGATGAACCTCAGTGAACCTAGCTGCAAGCCATCCCGAATCCAGCGTCGTTTTGCCCATTGCGCTGCTTAGAATGGGAAATGAACGACAACACCAAACTTGAATAGTTGTATTCACTGACCTCAGTTCACCCTTATCTTCTTCTTCTTCTTCTTCTTTTTCTTCTGTGAGTATTTTGTTTTCACTTTCTAATGAGCCATGACTCAGAGACAGGTAGATGAGTGAGTAATACTAATGTCGGTAAGCACAGGAGACAGAGGTGTATTTATGATATCTGTGAGGCACGTGGAATTTGTCTTCGCAACTTCTTATGTTAAGATCCACACAAGTGCCTTAGCTTGGGTGTATATTACCAAAATACTCTTCAAGGCTAGCTAGCTGTTACCCAACAGCAAAATTTTTACACTGCTGCAATTCAATTACCTATATTTGCTTGCTAGATTTTAGGGTTCCCTCCTCGTTTAGCTTTCTGTTTACCGTTTCTTTTAACCAGTTTATTGGTTCAATACACTGCCTCAAATCAAAAAATCTTGTTTGAGTTTGGTTGATTCTTCAACAAACTTAATGATTAAATGTTAAATTGAAATAACTTCTTACATTATATGTTAATTCACGTGTTTATTTGTGATTGTTTAAACTCAGCCCTAATAACTGAGTCTAAACAAAACTTTTTATTTTATATGTAAATTAAGGCCTAATTTGATCATGACATTTTCCATTCAAAGGATGTTTTCGTAATTGTAGAAAGAAAGGATACTTTGTTTTTATTTGGTTAATAACCATTCATTTCAAGCAAGTCAAGTCTCTGCCCCAATTTGCAACTTCTTCCACGAAAAAAGAATATCGATGCAGACCTTCATTATAACGAGTCAGCCACAAAAGTTTCCTCATAAAGAGATGCTAAAAAAAAGGTTTGTCTCACTGCTTAAAGAGCCATTAGAAGGTATTCCCATAGTAAACGTACCACTAGTCGTTCTTAACTCCCTTATTACTAGCCAACAAAGCTTAATGAAGTTATAATGAGATTGCAAGCACGAACATTTAGGCCAAAACAACAGTAACACTCTACACCATTAAAATAATGAAACACATGTGGGAATCAATTCTCCAAATACACGTAAGGAGATATGTCACTGGCTCGTGAAAGAGATAAGGGAAAAGGAGTGTGTTGTTTGCAATCTAAACACTAGCAAGTGCACTAGGATTGCAGCAAATAATGAGTAATTTTAAAATCTGAGTATCATCTCCACAGGGAATTAGGAACTCAATTATCACTTCACAGAAAAATAACCATTTGAGCCATACGAATTTGGGAAGAGAATTGTATCATCTAAAAGCAATAATCAGAGCAATCAAAAGTAAAGAACTTGCAGAAAAACAGAGTATAAGATTTGTGATGAAATGAAATAGCAATGAAGGATAGTTAGGAATTTACTTCACAAGAATATCAATATCAATCCAATTAAATCCTCTAAACATTCAAGCAATTGAATAATTGACAATCAGTTTCACATATACCTAGCCAAAGGTTAATTCCTTAACTCATTGACCCTAACAATCCACTAAACCTCCCTAATCCCTTAGGTGAGATTCAATTTCAGGTTGCATTAAGAATTAGAACTATAAGATTGCAGAATTAGGTCTCCTTATCCCTAAGAAATCCCTAAACTCTGGTTGCCAATTCAGATCGGAGCAAACAATCCAATTCTCATTGGTAAAGATTCCTCTTGATTAATCAAATGAATTTCCATTCAAAGATTGCATGAAAAGCATAATTAACAACTCAATTAATCCAAGAACTTAAAGTTTAGAAGATAAAGTCGAATCAATACATCAATTCGAGTTCCATAAACCCCTAACTATGGGAAATTAAGCACACATTGCAACAAAAACAGAGAAAGAAGAAGAAGAAGATGAAGAAGAATGCAGAGCAGCCATGGCCACGAGCTCCAATCCGATCCCTCTTCTTGGAGCTTCAAGCTTCGACCCCAATCTTCTCTCCACTCTCTCTCAACGAGAATCTAACTAACAAAACAAAAAATGAGCAAAAGATCCCAGTTTTTGCACTTCAATCATGTATATAAAGAAACCCCAGTTCTGGGCGTTGTCACTTTTCTTCACAAGAGTAACCACGCAGAAGTTTTATGTAGTACGCGTGTTCACTTTCAAGAGCAAGAGTAACCACGCGCAACTTGCAGAGTTGAAGGCTTCTCTGGAACATTCACTTTTATTCATAATAGTGGCAACGCAGGAGGTCAAGGGCTGCACGTGATCACTTTCGTGAGTAATAGTAACCACGCGCAAGCTGTCCTGATACAAGTGCCTCTGGAACGCTCACTTTCGTTGGCGAAAGTGATAACGCACACTGGCAACGTTCACTCTTGTAAATAAAAGTGATTACGCACAGGCTCTTCTTCTCTTTTAGGCTCTGGAATGATCACTTTCACTAACAATAGTGATCACGCCCAGGCTGCATCCCATAATTCTTATATTTTGGAGTCCAACATTGCCATTCTTCCTTTTCCTTTCCATTGATAATTCATTTCCATGACTTTTGCTCAGATTATTCCTTCAAAAACAAGATAAATTCCTTAAGAACTAAGCATAAATTCTACAAATGCGAAAATAACTACAAATTGAAATAAAACTTTCAATCATTCTCTTTTTCTGAGTTTTTCTGCTTTCTTCATATATTTTCCTTATTAAATGAGCTAGAATTATGCTAAAATATCAGTAAAAATATGGATTCATCAGAGTGTGACATGGAAATGGAGCCAGCAGAACAATTATGAGATAGTAAAGAGGATATATTCACATGGTATGCTAAGTTAAAGTCAAACTTCATAGCGACGTTGGAGGAGTTGGTCAATGAGTTTTGTGAAAAGTTCTTAGAAAGGAAAGAGTATTTCGTATAACAAACTTTGGTTGTGTCAAGTCAAAGAATAATGAAAGTATGCTAGACTTTATCAAAAGATATAGGGATAAAGCCATTCAGAGAGATGTTACCAAAAGAAAACTCGGTGTACAAATGTATAAAGAATGTTAAGGATGAGTCCTACATATCCCTATTTCTAAGGAGACCGCCACCTTTCTGATGTTAACAAAGCAAGTGTTCCTTCAAGTATATAAAAGACACCTTCTTGATAATTAAGTTGTAGTGAAAAAAGCATTGTTGATAGAGTGAACATTTTCTAACAATGTATAGAAGAAGACTTTGCAACAAGATTTGGAAAGAAACTTTGTGGTACGTGTGCCTCAATGTAAGAATATGTATAGAAATAGTAATAGTAATCTCAAAGCTGCTTATCTTCGAGAAGGCATAATGCAAAAGTGTACAAGACTTAAGGTCAACATGTTTAGAATCCACTTAAAATCTTATGAACACTATAAAAAATTAAAAAGATGGAAAGCATTAACCAAGTAATGTTTTGAAAGAAGTGCAATGGATTGACGAAGAACGTTTGTGAGTTGTTCATTCTCTTGATATCGAAGTGGCACTTGTAATCTTCTCTAGCATCAGGAAACTCTTCAAGTTATACAATGGTGACAGTTACACACAAAACATACATAGTATATTTGTAACTTTTTTTATTTGTATTATACTTGACTTGTTGTGAGGGACTGAGATAACTAATTAACCTCTTAGCATCACATTACATTGCACACAAAATAAATTTTATTTTATCCTTTTTTTTATCTGAATTGCTTGCTTTGCATTAGTTGCTAACTAAAAAACGACAGGAAATTAATTAATTAAACATTATAGTACTTAATAGTTATCATTAACTAGTGGAGGTCTATCAATTTATATTTTCAAAGTTATAGACATGGACGAGATCAATTTTTTAAAAGAATATATTTATGAACTTGTCTATTGATTATTGTTGATGTCACATCATGTTGATTTATTTAAATGTGCACATCATTATTCTTAAGTTATACGCATACCAAGTCAGCTAGAATTAACTATAAGAGATTTTGTATTTTTAACATATATGTTAAAGAAAATTGCAAATGCTATATTAATAGTATTTTGTCTTACATGCCATACTCATCTTTACAAGGACTTTTAAAATTGAAAGTAGAGATAATTATAGGTGCTTATGTCCTTAGCAAGGTTTATGTCTACTGGGAACCAAATAGAATATTAGGGACAAAAGTAAAAATGAGTAAAATAAGATATTTGAATAACTCAAACAAAGACTCAGATGGAGAAAAAGCTAAAAGAGAAATGAAAGATTTGGCAGTGAGGCAAGAATCTAGTGGACGTTTACACTAAAGAGTAGGCGATTTTGAGGAAGCGACTCAAGCAACAAGCACTCATGGCATTAGCGGTTGGAAGCATAAAGTCAAAACAATTAAAGAAACTTTTACATGAAGGTGAAAGAAAACAAAGCAAAGCCTTAAATCGTCAGGTATACAATAGCACCTTTCCAAGAATGGAAACATGAAGTCTTAGCTCTACAACTATGATATCCAAAAGTGGAGAAAATGAAACAAGTACAAAAAGAAAAAATACTAAAAAATAATTAAAGATATCGTATGAAAAATGATGGAGATAGTGGTCACTATTATAGGTCACTATGCTATTTAGAGAGCAAGGAAAAAGGAACTATTATATGTCACTATAGCTTATTGTTAGTTGTTAAAGATAATGAAAGAGAAAAATGCCTAAAAAAAATAGCAAATCAAATATTCTGATTATAACATATATTTGACTCTTTATTGCCTAAAAATTTGGAAAACTGAAAATTGACTTGGCAACTTCACGGGTCATTCTAATCAACACTCCTCCTTAACACTGAAGTTGCATACTCCAAGTCTTTTCCTTAAGAACTCAAATATGGTTTTAGGAAGTGTCTTTGTTAGGAGGTCAACACTTTGATGTTCAATTCTACAATAGACAAGCTACACTTCTCCATCATTTGTTTTGTCATGGAACATTGGATAATTTGCAATTGAAATGGCAGCTTGGTTGTCCACAAATATCTGTGTGCTTTTTGTTTGTTCTATATGCAAGTCTATCATGAGCTTTTCGATCCAAAAAACTTGATTCACAGCAGCAACAACAGCTACATGAAATGTTGTATACCAATCATATCTATTGCCTTGTAAAGTGGGTCACAAGAACGAGGTCACGAATAAAATAAAATAATAAAAAAATTGAATGTGTTGGGAATAGACACATAAAAACAAGGTTTACTCTCTACAATTTTGGGCCTCAAATATTTTTTCCTCTGGGTTCTTCCAAAAAAATCTCATTCACTATTAAGCATAAAGTGTACACAT